AAATTTCCATCTGTCCACTCCACTGTATAGAAGGAGCTGCTTCCTTCTGGTTCATTCCAGTTCACAGACACAGAGGATGTGGTGATGTTTGTGACAGTGAGATTTCTGACTAGTTCAGGCCCTGTGATGCAGGATAAATACAACGGTGAGGAAGAGGAGAAAGAAAACTCATGACTGTGGCAAGTACAAATAGGACAGTGCAGACACCCATAACAAACAACTACAAACAGCAAAAAGCTGTAATTCAAATAGATAAATGTGTTTACTTGTGACTGAGGTGAATGTGTAAGGGTCTCCTTCTGTCTCATTGTCTCCAGCAACAGCTGTGACGGTGATTGTGTAGTTAGTACCAGAGATCAGCTCTGACAGCACAGCAAAAGTTATCATTTGTGTATGTAGTCATCAGCACTCCACCATTGTGCCACTCCAACCTGTACATGAAACACCTCACCAGGAGGTGAGGTCCAGTTTCACAGAGATTGGAGGAGGTGTTTTGGGACACAATATGATGGTTTCCAATTATACCTGGTCTATACAGGAGAGGAGAGGAGAGGGAGAAGGAGAGGAGAGGAGAGGAGAGGAGAGGAGAGAGGGGAGGAGAGAGAGGGAGAGGAGGAGGAGAGAGAGAGGAGAGAGGAGGGGGACAGGACGTTGGGACTTAAACCTAGTAACATTTATTTGTGATGTGTCTTTATTGGTTACACAAAAGCACAATTTTCAGTAAACATTCATATATTAAATGTTGGATTTTTTGTTTTCTGACATCCTCATAGAAAAATAACTTTTCTATCATTTTGGTTTTGGTGATGTAATAAAACACAGAAGGGGTAGAAGCACACAATTGACAGAAAAATCATATTCAGTATAAATCTTTGCTACTTTGTATGATGAAAATCTTGTGCCATTTTCAACTTTCTGTGTTGGTTAATTCCAGCCACTGCTATGACAGTAAACTGTCATTCACTTCCAGCAGAGTCAGCTCAAGTGTGTTTAAGGTTTGTTTCCTGCAGCTGATAGTGACCCCTTTACGTTAAGTGATCCTTAGTCACTGGTACTGCAGTAGAGGAAGGAGGCCTTTCCTTTGGTTCAGTCCACATCACATACAACCTGTACGGATGTGGTGACGTTAGTGGACGACTGTATGTTCAGACTATTCAGGCTCTTGGTGAGGGAAAATTGTTGTTAATGGGTAAATAAGAGTTCTTTTATCATTTCATCAAGCACTCTACTTAAAATCGTTTAAATTAGTATAGTAACAGTGGAAAACATTAGGAGACAGCTGCTCCATGCAAAGTGATTCAACGCTGCCCTCCATCCAGCTGGAGTTCATTTAGCTTATCTCTTTTTAAACATTCGACTTTTTATGTAGCACATTTTAAGGCAGACACCCAGGGTATCCTTAAACAGGTGACCAAACCCCCTGTCTGACTTGTGTCATAACAGAGAAAAGGCAGCTTGACATAGAGACTGACTTTCCAGTGCACAATGAAAAGTGAATTCAACTCTGTGTTGACGACTCATTTCAGCTGCTGTATCAGACTCATTCTCTCAGTCTACTATCTAGAATTTTAGCCAGAGCTACGGAGCAAAAACAAAAACTGGACCACAAAAAATACAAACATCTTGCCTCACTGCTGAACTCTCTGATCATCACTGTGATCAGGTTGCAACAGCATCACTGAAGCTGATGCCCAACACAGCCTAGTACAACCAACAACTGTCTCACTCACCTCCTGTGGGATACAACCTGATAACCTGAACTTCTCCTTTTGAAGAGGACTTGTTATTCCATCACTGGACTTCTCTATATTACCCTGAATGTCGTCCTGCTTTGATCATTTGCAGAGTCTTCTCCACAGGTCCTCAGCAGACCTCCTGACAGTAATCGACCACATTTAACGACGTTACTTACTTGTGTAAGTTAAGTACAGTAGGTGCTCTGTCCTTTAGTATGGTTGTCATCTGCCACTGCAGTAAACATTTATTTATACTGTGACACCAGCAGTCAGGTTACTAATGGTCATAGATGTTTCAGACACATTTTTCAGTGGCACTGAAATTTCCATCTGTCCACTCCACTGTATGTGGAGCTGCTTTCTTCTGGTTCACCTCCAGTTACACAGACACAGAGGATGTGGTGACGTTTGTTGACAGTGAGATTTCTGACTAGTTCAGGCCCTGTGATGCAGGATAATATCACACGTGTAGGAAGAGGAGAAAGAAAACTCATGTGACTGTGGCTAAGTACAAAATAAGGACAGTGCTAGCCAGCCCATACAAAAACTACAACAGCAAACAGCTGTAATTCAAATTAGAGTAAATGTTGTTTACTTTGTGACTGAGGTGAATGTGTAAGGGTCCTCCTTCTGTCTCATTTGTTGCCAGCAGACAGCTGTGACGGTGAATTGTGTAGTTAGTTACCAGGATAGCTCTGACAGCACAGCAAAGTTATCATTTGTGTATGTTAGTCATAGCACTCCACCATTTGTGCACTACCAACCTTGTACATGAACACTCACCAGGAGGTGAGGTTCCAGTTTCACAGAGATGGAGGAGTGTTTTGGGAACCTATATATTGATAGGGTTTCCAACTTATACCTGGTTTCTTATATCGAGAGAGAGGAGAGGAAAGAGAGAGGAGGAGGGAGAGTGAGGAGAGGAGAGGAGGAGGAGAGGAGATGGAGTAGAGAGGAGAGGACGTGGGACTTTAAACCTAGTAACATTTTATTTGTGATGTGTTGTTTGTGTTACAAAAGCACATCAGTAACATTCATCATACTTAAATGTGGATTTTAATTGTTTTCTGATCTCCATGAAAATAAACTTTTCTATCATATTGTTTTGTGATGTTTAAACATTACTAAAAGGGTGTTAGAGAGCCCATGATCAGAAAATCTATATATATCCATCTACTTGTATGATGAAAAGATCTGTGCCATTGTCACTTTCTGTTTGGTTTATCTCCAGCCATGCTATGACAAGTAAAATTGTAATTTCACTCGCAAGCGAGTCAGCTCAGTGATGGTTTAGTTTTTGTTTCCGTTGATAGTGACCTCCTGGTTTAGTTATCCATTAGTCCACTGTATCCATTATAAAGAGAGCGCTTCCTTCTTGGGTGATCAGTCCACATGCACCATTAACACTTGGAGTGATGTGGTGATCGTTTAGTGGACACTGAGGTTAAGGGACTAACTTCAGGCTCATGTAGAGAAGCTGATTTAGATGGGTATGAAAAATCAGTATGAGTTTTTTAATTTGGTACAATTTAAGGTTATTATCATTTTCAAAGCATGCTACTTTGAAATCTTTTAATAGGTTAGTAATCAGTGAACATGGAACATGGCTGCGTTCCAGACAAAGTGATCAAGCTGGCTTCCATCGCGAGCTGGAAGTTTACATTTTAGCAATCCTTTTTTTAAACATCGACTTTTTCATGTATCGCCACATTCTTAAGGCAGACACCGGGTATCCTTTAACAGGTGACCAACCCCTTCGTTTGTACTTTGTGTCATAACAGAGAAAAGGAGCTTTGACATAGAGACTGATTGTCCAGTGCACAATGAAAAGTGAATTTCAATCTGTGTTTGACGACTCAGTTATTCAGCTGCCTGTATCAAACCTCATTCTCTCAGTCTCCTATCTAGAATCTTTTAGTCCAGAGTGCTACGGAGCAAAACAAAACTTGACCACAAAAATACAAACATTTGCATCACTGCTGAACTCTTGATCATCACTATGGATGTCCAGTTCAACACAGCAATCACTTGAAGCCTGATGCCCAACACAGCCTCAAGTACAACCAAACAACATGTTCTCACACCTCCGTGAGATACAACCTTTGAATCACCTGAAACTTTCTTCTTTGAGAGGACTTGTTATTCCACCTGGAGTCTTCTCCACCGTCTTTGCTCAGCAGACCTCCTGACAGTATCACCAATTTAAACGCTTACATTACTTGTGTAATGAGTAACAAGCAGTGGTCTGTCCCTTGTATGGTTGTCATCTGCCACTGCAGTACATTTATTTTAATACTGGACCCAGCAGTCAGGTTACTAATGGTCATAGATGTTTCAGACACATTTTCAGTGGCACTGAAATTTCATCTGCAACTCCACTGTATAGAAGGGAGCTGCTTCTTCTGGTTTCCCAACGTTCACAGACACAAGAGGATGTGGTGACGTTTGTGACAGTTGAGATTTCTGACTAGTTCAGGCCCTGTGATGCAGGATAAAATACACGGTGAGGAAGAGGAGAAAGAAAACTCATTGACTGTGGCAAGTACTAAATAGGACAGTGCAGACACCCATACAAACAAACTACAAACAGCAAAAAGCTGTATTTCAAAATAGATAAATGTGTTTACTTGTGACTGAGGTGAATGTCGTAAGGGTCTCCTTCTGTCTCATTTGTCTCCAGCCAACAGCTGTGACGGTGATTGTGTAGTTAGTACCAGAGATCAGCTATGACAGCACAGCAAAGTTTATCATTTGTGTATGTAGTCATCAGCACTTCACCATTGTGCACTGCCAACTGCTCATTGAACACCTCACCGAGGGGTGAGGTCCAGTTCACAGAGATGGAGGAGGTTGTTTTGGGACACAATATGATGGTTTACCAATTATACCTGGTCCTAATAACAGGCGAAGGAGGGGAGAGGAGAGGAGAGGAGAGGAGAGGAGAGGAGAGGAGAGGAGAGGAATAGAGAGGAGAGGAATAGAGAGGAGAGGAGGGGACAGGACGTGGGACTTAAACCTAGTAACATTTATTTGTGACTGAGGTGAATGTGTAAGGGTCTCCTTCTGTCTCATTGTCTCCAGCAACAGCTGTGATGGTGATTGTGTATTTAGTACCAGAGATCAGCTCTGACAGCACATCAAAGGTAAAATTTGTGTATCTAGTCATGGAAGTAAAATCTCTCACACTTAATTATGATTTGCCTATTGGTTACAAAAAGCAGCAGACCTCCTGATGTTATAAACCACATTTAAACGCTTACTTACTTGTGTAATTAGTAACAGTAGTGCTCTGTCCCTTAGTATGGTTGTCATCTGCCACTGCAGTAACATTTATTTTATACTGGACACCAGCAGTCAGGTTACTAATGGTCTTAAATGTTTCAGACACATTTTCAGTGGCACTGAAATTTCCATCTGTCCACTCCACTGTATAGAAGGAGCTGTTTCCTTCTGGTTCACTCCAGTTCACAGACACAGAGGATGTGGTGACGTTTGTGACAGTGAGATTTCTGACTAGTTCAGGCCCTGTGATGCAGGATAAATACATGGTGAGGAAGAGGAGAAAGAAAACTCATGACTGTGGCAAGTACTAAATAGGACAGTGCAGACACCCATACAAACAAACTACAAACAGCAAAAAGCTGTAATTCAAAATAGATAAAATGTGTTTACTTGTGACTGAGGTGAATGTGTAAGGGTCTCCTTCTGTCTTATTGTCTCCAGCAACAGCTGTGACGGTGATTGTGTATTTAGTACCAGAGATCAGCTCTGACAGCACAGCAAAGTTATCATTTGTGTATCTAGTCATTGAAGTAAAATCTGTCACTTAATTATGATTTGCCTATTGGTTACAAAAAGCAGCAGACCTCCTGATGTTATGAACCACATTTAAACGCTTACTTACTTGTGTACTGAGTAACAGCAGTGGTCTGTCCCTTAGTATGGTTGTCATCTGCCACTGCAGTAACAATTATTTTATACCGGTCACCAGCAGTCAGGTTACTAATGGTCATAGATGTTTCAGACACATTTTCAGTGGCACTGAAATTTCCATCTGTCCACTCCACTGTATAGAAGGAGCTGTTTCCTTCTGGTTCACTCCAGTTCACAGACACAGAGGATGTGGTGACGTTTGTGACAGTGAGATTTCTGACAATTTCAGGCACTGTGAATGACAGAGGTGGGTGGGGGAAAGAATTAACATTTTAGATAGTCATTACTCATTATCAGTGTGACATGTTGTTATCATCTGTGTATTAGATATAGTATCTGTAGTGTATTCCTACTGAGTACACTTTCTTCACAGTCAGACATAATGAATTTCTAGCAAAGCTGTAGGTTCTATACTGTCTAAAGTCATTATTTTAGTCATGTTTTAGCTGACAGATTAGTGTCTGGAATATAAGAGATTCAATAAAGTAAAGAGACTTACTCAATGTGACGTTTGCACAGCAGGATGAGCAATTAATTAAGATTTCATAGACAGCTCCAGGAATCAGACCATTTAGAAAACTGTCTCCAGAGATATTATTCCCAGTGGATAAGGTGCAGTTTGGTGTAGGTACATGTCTGACTGTTGTTGTTGTCACTGTTAATGCTTCTGTTACATTGCTGTCACATTTCATTTCTAAAGGACAGAAGAGCAAAAAAAACAAGAAGAACAAGAAATGAGCACAGATTTTAAAAGGATAAATTTCTGGAAAAACAATGCAGATATACAGTATTAACAGATGATGTAATTAACAAGCATATATCAAATGCAAAAACAGTATTGTGTGAGAACTTATATTTATTTATATGCAGAGACAAATGAACATGATTGTAACTCACTCAACAGAATAAAGAGACAGTTTGTACATACCAACACATTCTGCATGGGAGTTCTGTGGAGATGAGGGCAGAGAAAAACAAAGTAAATCATTTTGCACCAGCAGAGGTCAGCATTCAGTTTTCAACAGCTTTAAACCGTCAACCAGAAACTCAACCACCTGTTCAATGTCACCGAGCATCAGTGAATATAGCAACGACCTGCGGAACAAGTCTGTGAAGTCTGAATTAAAATCATTAAATTTAATTATTGTTGAATGGATAGTGTTTCCTCAGTTTCTTAAATGCCAGCATTTTGTAACCCCGTGTCACATGTGAATGCTGCGAACTGTTGTCCTTCTCATGAACAAAAATGTGGTACATCTGCACAAAGGATAAACCACAAATTTTGAGTTCCGCATCAGCTCTTTACATAGTCCTTATAGCAGCTTCGTCCTTGCTGTAATTCTCTTTATGGCTTCCAAGAAAACAAAGCATCTAATTGGTCACAGCTGAAGTTGATATAAGAAAGCAGGACCATATAGCCAGATTTTTAAGACTGAGGTCATGAGTCCAGCTTCAATGCAACCTAATTATTAGTATTTTTCATATTTTATTTATTCTGTTACTGTTGTTTTTTCTGTAAATTCAGCTAATATGAAGCTCTAAATATTGTTTCAAAGCCTTTCCACACTCCCAGGAATTAAATCTGGTGGATAAATACTGAGCCTTTCATAGCGCTGGATATCAAATCTTAAAACAAGTGACAATTATAGTCACTGTCAAATACTTGGTTAGATGCTTAGGCTTGTTTACTTATACACTGGTCAAACATTTACTAATTTAAATCAGAAAACTTTATTACTTATATATATATTACTTATATTTTATCATTTCATAGGCACACATATTGATATCCAGCCCAAGTTTATTTATTATTATTTATTTAATTTATTTTTTGCTGCTCCAAAAGCTGTCAAATTTAAGTATATGGTATCTAAACATAGAGGAATCAGCCTGTAAAATAAACCCAATGTGTAAATTTTTAATAGGAAAATATTAGCTCCAACCAAATTTCTAAAACCCACATATTCATGTAATTCATATGGATACAAACAGCGAAAAAAACATAAACTGTTTTCATCTTATTCATCAAGACACGTCATTTTCAGTGGTGGAAACAAACATACAAAATCTCAAGATTATGGAGTAAAGTCTCATTACAACTGATGATTGTGTGTCAGTTAGTACAAACAAGGAAGTAGACCCTGGTAATATTCGCCTATCAGTAATCATTGTGTGTTCCCAGGTAATCTTCAATGTTGGTACTAAAGTACTGTTGAGAATAAAGTTCTTCCTCCTTGTAAGATTACACCTAGATATCTCACATCTCCAGCTCCAAAACAACTATAAACAAATGGTGATCACAGTAAACAATAACAAACGTGAACATACATATACACATACAACATCATGTCCATACAACTCAAACTCCGCATTTCTGCTGTGGTTATCACTTGTATCCTGTTATCAGGCCTAAACACACAGCTCGGACTCCACATTACTTATTAGCCAAACTTAAACAGACCACAGTGACTCACTGGCATGTTACCTTTCAGTCATGTTTACCACACAGCTAAACATTAAATACATGGCATCATTGCTCAAACCTCCATTATTCTCTCCCAAACAAAGATGACAGATCACAAGTCAATCATTAACTCCCAACAATGGCAGAATAGACTTTACCTTCATTCATTAGAGTGAAGCAATTTCAAACACTTTCTCTTATGTTCAGAGTTATACTTGTATTGCAAACCTTGCATAACATGCTTTGGCGATACTGTAATTAATTGTAAAAAGCAAATGTGAATTAGAAGTTTCATATGGAAAAGAGCATTATAGATAAAATAGACCTAAAAACTCCAAAACCGTCAGACCAGGAAGCTGAGAAAGAAAAGGTCCATTCTGTATTAAGTATTGTCCCTTCCACCCACCCATCCCTGGAGACCGGTGTCCTCCCCATAATTTTTCCTTTTCTATTCACAGCAGAGACCCTGCCCTTCCTCCCAATCCTCTGAGACTCTATTCTTCTTTTTAAAGTACAAGGGTGCCACACACTGAGTTGCGCACAAGGGGTTCAAGGGTTAGGTACTCTTTGAGGACCTGATGGAGAGTCTTTACATAGTGTTTGAGAGGGCCACAATAGAATATGCTATGTGTTGAAAAACATTATCACCATGTCATTATGACAGTTAAATAAACTATGATTTATATGTGTGTATTATTTTTTACTTTTTATATATCAATAGCAGTATATGTGAGGAAGTGTTCATCTGGATGACCATACTTCTGCTGTTTGTGCAATGTGGTGGCACAGCTAAGATTCACACTATCGCCCTGTCAGAGAAAGTGGAAATGGGTGTTTGAGAATTTCTCAGTATCCAAAATTTGTCCAAACACTTTAGCAAGAATTCACTCTTTGCTAATTTTCACATATATGGCATTTGTGGCATTTTCAACATTCTACTGTATTTTCTTTGCAAATGCATCAGTAGTATTGATGTATTGCTAACAAATTCCTGCATTGTCATGACACTATGTGGGTGAAGATCTTGAATTAATAGACATAGACGTTACCTAAAATGCCACTTGGGAGAGTGATAACTATAGTTTGCGCTAACATGTTCTTATGATCCTGTGGAGAACAGAATTTAGCCACTCATATCCACAGTCATATAAAGAATATGACTGATAATAACAATATTTTTCTTATTGTCAAAAAATAAATGAAACAATAACCAGATGAGTGTTCACTTTGCAACAAAAGCCTCATATAATATTAGCTTACAGTATTCCTCTGTGTCATAGAGCTGCAGTGTTGCCCAAAAACTCATACTGTAAATTAATAAACCGCACCTTTTCTTGGGATTCATTCACATATTAAGTATAAGTATATTCAAGCCAGTTAAGGAGTAAGCATCTCTGTCCAGGACAGCCAACTGTTCTGGAGAGAGATGTACTCACGCTAACTCCTTCCACCAGGGCTGCGGTTGTATGAGCTAAAAGATGAAAAAAAATGTAGGCCTATTACCGAGTTTATTACTAGCTAGTTTCTTTTGACATAATTAGAGCTGAACCACACAGATTTGAGGAATGTCATACCTGGTTAGCCCTTTGTGTCAACCTTAGAAACAACAGGCTAAACAAGAAGGTGCTGCATATAGCTTCACATGCTAACCCAACTAAACTTCAAAAACATAACCCTATCAAAACATAAAGTAACATATTAAACTTGTCAATTTTAAGTGTGTGTGTAATGAGGTCACTTGCCTTAATAATCCCACACAGAAATCTATCACCAAATTCGGCAGCTCTAGCTTTTAGCCTCTTTTAGCTCTCCGACCCTGCTTAGCTTTCAAACTTCCCATATGGTTCTGTATCATCACTCTCTTCAACCCTATTTCCAATAGAAGCAAGCAGACGTTTTCAACAAAATATTTTGACAAACACACTGAGTGTATTTTTACTAAAATGTCCAAAACCAAACTGCAGAAAGACAGGTTTGATAGCAGGATGTAGCTAACAGGAATGTAGCAGCTAATGGTTCAGATACTTTTCTCAGGAGTTGCAGACCAAAACAGAGCACAGAGGAGAGTAAATATTGGACTTACACTACGGTCTTCAGGTGGAAATATGACTCTAAACAATTGGGATGTGTAAATGGGAAACTGTTTGCAAATATGTTAGTCATAGCGACCTAATTAGTTGAAAACAGTTCATTTTAAGGGCTGACATTAACTTGTCATCACAGAAAACATACATGTTTAAAAAACAATATTAATTACGGCTGCATTCAATTTAAGTGTGACAGAAAGCCATGTCAGTGAGTTTGTATGCACAATACCACAGGCCAAGACCTAAAAAACTTAAGTGGACTGCATGATTACAGTAATGTTGTTTATTACATCTGTGCTTTTCTTGCTGTGTACTGTAGAGATGCCATGAAAAAAATATAAATATATTTGGTGGGGGTATTTTCAATACTATCATTGGGAGTCACCACAGACATACATTTTTGAAAGTTACCCATATGGCTTAATATAAATTGTATTCTTTTTTTTTTAATCGTGGCCAGGTTAATTGGATTTAGTTCAAAATCTGTATTGTTGTTGATTAACATTAGTATATGGTGCCGACGACGAGTGAAACTTACCGACTCTTGTCACACTTTATGAATCAGTATTTCAATCCACGTTGGTGTTGTTTTTTTCTCTTCAAACCTCAGCAACAGATATGTTTAGTAGTTGGTAGGTGTATAGCCTACAGTATACAGTGAACTCTATTTAAGATGGTTTAATTTATTGGTATAGTACATAAATTTAGTAAACGCAGCAAAACTGCACCACTGTCTGTGTCTGTGTATCGTAATGACTTCACTCCACTGAACATGGTAAAGGTCACATTCCAGTATGTGAAAGCTGCATCTCGCATGTTTTCATTCAAACATTCATGTTAAACTGACCTCTGGGATGCAACTTCTCTGAGCCATGACTCCCAAATGTTTCATTTTCCTTGGCCCTCTTCCTAAGAGTCACTTATTTTCTCCTGACTAAATAAACAAAACAACGTCTCAAGCCATTATGCCTTGGCACGGGCTCAGAGAGCAGTAAAGTCCCAAAGTCTCATTTGGGAAATACTGCCCTAGATATACTGAAGTTCAAATAATGGACATCATTTTTCTTGTGAATCCTCTGCTCCACCCATCTGTATATCTTCCCTCCTTGTTTTTAACTCCTTCTAGCCACAGGCTTATTATGGTTTTTATTCTTTGTTCTTTTTTCCTTAAATGTGTTGCATATATGTTGTGTTTATGTAAATACACAAGTGGTGGGAGCTTATTATTCTCTTGTAGCAACTATAAGAAAAGGAGAACATTTTTTTTTTTGGTTGCTACAAATGGCTCAAATTCTGAAGATGCAGTACATTTCTTAGAAGTTCTCCAGGTTTATTGTAGTCTATAGAATTTCACTTGAAGAGCAATATTAAATATGCAAAATATTGTGAAACATACTTG